GGCTCGCGTCGGGCGTCGACTGGTCGCTCCTCGCGGACGACGGGCCCTGCGACGCGACCGTGAGCCTGCGGGCGGGCGGCGCGGACGGCGACGGCGACGGCGACGGCCGCGCGGACGGCCAGCCGGGCGGCCAGCCGGGCCTGCTCGCGAAGCCGGCGAAGGCCGGCGGCGGGCCCAAGCCGCGCCGCGCCGCGCGGAAGCCGACGCCCGCGGAGCTCGCGGAGCTCGCGGACGAGGGCGAGCGCGTGCCCGAGGACGAGCGCGTGGCGTTCGATGAGACCCTTTTGGACTCCATCCGCGCCTACGTCGAGCCCGCGCCCGACAACAAGGCGCGCGCGCCGGCGGGCGCGCCGAGCGCCATGACGGCGCGGGCCCAGACCTGGGCCTCGAGCCCGGGCTTCGGCGGGGCCGTCTCGGGCCGCGACACGGTCGTCGCCGACGTCATGCAGCACGTCCTCTGGGCGGCCGCGCGCGCCGTCCGCGTCGCCGGCGGGCCCATCCACCTCGCCGAGGCCCAGGCCTCGAGCCTCCTGGCCGCCGCCTCCGTGGACCTCGAGCCCGAGCCCAACGTCGCGCGCGAACTCGCGGACAACGCGTACGCCGCGGCCCTCGCCGTGGCGACCTTCGCCGGCGCGCCCCGCGCGTCGGCCAAGGCCCTCACGGTCCAGTGGCGCCGCGCGCCCCACCACGCCGAGCCCACCCTCGTGTGGGGCTTGGCGAAGGTGGAGGCGGCGCGCCACCTGGGGGACGCGTGCCTGCCGTGCGTCCCCCGCGACGCGGTGCGGATCGTCTCCTTCCCCCACCTCGCCTGCCCCATCTGCGACCAGACCTTCTCCTCGCTGGGCGAGGTCTTCGACGCGACCGCGGGCCAGCTCCACGAGGGCATCTGCCCGGCGGGCCTCCCGCCGAAGACGCCCGTCGGCGTCTACCGGCTCCGCTGGATCCACCCCAAGTAGTCAGGCGTGTAACTTCCTTTCGCTAAGCCCTCACGTGTCGTCGAGCCCCGCTTCGCCCGGATCCGGGCGCCCCCCAGACTCATCATCGGAGAGGTCCTCGAGTTCGCCGCGCCGGGCCGTCACACGCAGTGCCTCGCGTAGAGCCCGCCGAACACGAGCCAGGACACGCAGCACACGCCGAGCCGCACAACGGAGAACGTCGCGCGCACGTCGAAGTAGAGCATCGCGTTCGCGACGTTCCCGAACACGTGGATCCGCGAGTGCCACCTCGAGCTCGCGTCGAGGTCGCCGCGCTTCCCGAAGTGTCGGGCGCGCGCGTAGCAGCTGATGGTCACGGCGGCGAGGGCCCAGTAGGCCGCGTGGCGCCGGCCGGCGAGCTCCAGGGGCGCGCGCCAGCACTGGTACGCGAAGCTCGCGGCGACGTACGTCATGTCGATCGCGCGCGCGGCGCCGCCGACCACCGGCCGCCGCCAGTAGTTGATGGACGTCGACATGGTGCCGATGGCGATGATCGCGTAGTCCGTGCGCGCCGACATGATCGCCACCGACGAGCAGAAAACCGTGTTGAACGATCGCCGCAGGATGCGCTGCGAGTACTGGCGCGGCAGCACGAGGCGCGCGCCGTCCGACTCCATGTCGATGCGCGACGATGGTTCACGAGGTTCTAGCGGCGCGCGGCGCGTCGTGGCGCGAGTGCTGCGACGCTGCCGCGTCCACGCCTCGGCGGCACCATCGCCTCATCGAGAGCTCGATCGGCCGGAGAGCATGGAGAGCCTGGCCGAGCAGTATTCGAGGACGCCATCGCCACCGCCGCGAAAGCGCCAGCGACGAGCACCGTCAACGATGCTCGACGCAGCGTTCTGGCGCAGCATCGTTGGCATGCACTGCTGCGACGACGCGTGGCTCGAGCGCGAAATTCGCCTGCTCGAGCCCACCTGCTGCTCCGACGACGAGCTCGCGCGCGAGGGCGCGACGACCATCGTCGGCGATGAGCGCTGCGCTGCGCTCGCGCGGCGGTGCGCGTCTGCCGTCGAAGCGCTCGCAGAACTACAACTGCCCGCGGTCTTCGTCTTCATGTTCGACGAGGCCTGGGCGCTGGTCCGCGCGCACGAAGCGGCCGTCGCGACGCAGCTGCCGCGGAACGCAAAGCTCAACTATGATATCTACGCCTGGCGCGTGCCCTACGGGTCCCGGGGCTGGGCCGCGCACCGCGACCGCGACCGGTGCCCGATCGTCGACGGCAAGCCCTGCTACGCGACGGTCTGGGTCGCGCTCACGGACGTCCTGCGAGACACGTCGTGCATCTGGTACGTGCCGGTATCCCAGGCGCTACGGGCCAGCGATGATCCGCTGAGCGCGCCACGCGGCGGCGACGACCCGCTGAGCCTCGAGCGGGCCGCGGAGCCCGTCGCCGAGTCCCTGCCGGTCAGGCCGGGCGGCGCCGCGATCTGGGGCGGCAGCACGGTCCACTGGGGCGGCGCCCACACGAACAGCACTCGCGGCTCGCGCATCTCGCTCGCCTTCGCGGTGTCGACGCCGGAGGAGATGCGCGACGACGAGGAGCGCGTAGGCGCGGTCCATGCATGGTCCGGTCCGGGCTTGAAAGAAGCGCCGAGCCTACTCGCGCGCCTGAAGCTCGTCTGCCTGCAGTTGCACTTCTACAGCGACGCCGCGTCCCTGGACGACGAGCTCTCGGAGCTCCTCGACTCGCTCAACGTGTTGTTCTCTCGCGCGGATCTTGGCGTCGACGCCCGTGCGAGCCTAGACGTGTAGTTGCCCTTCTGGAACTCAGGCGTGGTTTTCGCGCGTCTGCTTAATTTTCTCAAGGGATATTGTGCATTTTTTGTCAATTTTTTCGAACTCGCTTCTGCGAAGCCGATTCCTTTGCTTCGGGGTATCAAATGCCAATTGTTTTGCGAGGCCTGTACAACACGAAAATATGGACCGTCCGGCGCCCCCACCTGGGGTTGCCGGTTGGAGCTTGGTTCCATAGTGACGGGGTTGGCTCACAGCAGCTCCCTACTACCTTAGTCGGTCATCACTTCAACTTGAAGTTCGACTTCTACGTTGAACTTTCTACTTGTTGAGATGCGTCAGGGTTCTGATTCCTGCGACCCGGGTTCGAATCCCGGTGGAACCTCTTTCTTTTTTTTACTTTTTCTCCTCATCTTCCTCTCCTCCTTTTTTTTCAACACCAATCACACAATCAACACCCACAATGCACCACTCTGCGCACAAGTCCGACACCAAGTCTGAGCCCCACCGCCCTAAAAACAGTCGCAAGCTGCACAGTGCGGCGTCACCGATCTTCGAGTAGTAACGAGAATTCGGTCGACACGCGGGTTCGCGGTGGCCGCCCTTTCGAGCCGCCATGCCGCCCCTCGCCGCCCGCGGACGCCCTGATTACCGGGCAATTACCAGGCTGCGGCAATTACCCGGTAATTGCCGGTAATTACCGAGGCCTCCCGGGCGCCTGCCCCTCAATAGGCTCTCAATATGCACCCCCAATCTTTCACCTTGCCCCCCGCCGGGCCCGGTCAGCAAAATATGGGCGCGCAAAACACGCGATAACGACCACAACAGACTCCCGCAAACACGCGATATAACGACCACAACACACCGCAACGACGCGTGCGAAAAAAAACGCACACACAATGTCCACAACACAAACCCCCTCCGCCACCTTCACGCAGATGTTTTTCTTCAGCGTCAAGGTCACGGTGGGCGTCGGCGCCCTGGCCCTGCCGCAGCAGGTCGCCGCCGTCGGCTACGTCTGGAGCGCGGTCATGCTCGTCCTCGTGGGCGTCGCGATCTGGTGGGGCTCGGCCGCGCTGCTTCGGGCGAAGCGCGCGGTCGAGGAGAGCGGCACGCCCGTGGTCACGTACCAGGACGTCGCGCGGGGCGTGCTCGGCGTCGAGGGCCAGCGCGTCGTGGAGGTGTCCATCGTGGCCTTCCAGCTCGGCGTCTGCTGCGTCTACTTTTACTTCATCGCCGACGAATTGGCGGACCTCTTCCCGGCGTCGTCGGGCGGCCTGACGCGCGTCGAGTGGATCCTCGTGCTCTACCCGCCCGTCGCGGTCGTGTCGTGCCTGCGCTACCTGCGGGACATGGCGGACGTCGCCAAGGTCGCGTTCTTCTGCTACGCGGTCGGCGTCCTCGGCACGCTGGGGTACTGCGTCGTCCGCGTCGAGCGGCGCGGCGTCGTGCCGCGGTCGGAGCAGACGACGGCGGCGGACATCTTCTCCCTCTTCGCGACGCTGCTCTACGCCTTCGAGGGCATGCCGTCGTGCCTGCGCGCCGACCGCGCGGCGAAGGCTTGCCACTTCAGAGTTTGAGCCTCGAGCGCTCGTCCGCGCTCCTCGGCGCTCGTCGTCCGGCGCGCGGCGCGCGGCGCGTCTCGCGTTCGTCCGCCGGCCGCGGCGCGCGCGCTTCGGACGACGAGTGCGGCGCTTCGAGCGCTCGTCCGCGCTCCTCGGCGCTCGTCGTCCGGCGCGCGGCGCGCGGCGCGTCTCGCGTTCGTCCGCCGGCCGCGGCGCGCGCGCTTCGGACGACGAGTGCGGCGCTTCGAGCGCTCGTCCGCGCTCCTCGGCGCTCGTCGTCCGGCGCGCGCGGCGCGCGGCGCGTCTCGCGTTCGTCCGCCGGCCGCGGCGCGCGCGCTTCGGACGACGAGTGCGGCGCTTCGAGCGCTCGTCCGCGCTCTTCGGCGCTCGTCGTCCGGCCGCCTGCGCGCGGCGCGTCTCGCGGTTCCTCCCACGCCGTGTCGCGCGGTTCCTAAACTACCGTCGCGCGCAGGTGCCAGATCGAGAACACGCTCTTCGGCGGCCGCCGCGCGATGAAGCGGCTCCTGGCCTGCGTGCTCTGCTCCGTCTTCACCATCTTCACGACGGTGGCCTTCCTCGGCGCGCTGGCCTTCACGGACCCGAGCGACCCCCTCACGGAGAGCGTCTACGACGCGTACGGCGGAGTTTTGCCGACGCTCCTGAACGTCTTCGTGCTCGTGTCCGTCGCCATGACCTACCCGCTCCAGTTCTACGCCGCCGTGTCGCTGCTGGAGCGCGTCATCGGCTTCGGGCCGGGGGCGACGCAGGCGCGCGACGCGGAGGTCGCGCTCGGCCGGAGCGGGTCCAGCGGCCAGCTCCGGAGCCGCGCGGACGAGCGGCCGCTGCTCCTCGCGGACCGGCCGGCGACCATCGGCGGCGCGCCGCCGGAGCCCGAGGCGGCGGCCTCCGTCTGGATCACGGCGGAGGACGGCGGCTGGGCGTCCGTCGCGCTCCGGTGCGCGCTCGTGGCCGTGACGGCGCTCGTCGCCATCGTCGTGCCGTCGCTGAGCGACCTCATCGACATCATCGGCGCGCTCCTCGCGCCCTGGCTCGCGCTGACGATCCCGGCGCTGCTCGACCTGTGCGCGGGCCTGTCCATGAAGGCGTACCCCATGACGCCCATGGACGTGAGCGTCGCGTCGTTCGTGCTGACGACGTCCTTCATCCTCGCCATCTGCGGGACGACGTCCGTCATCATGGCGCTGTAACAACCGTCGGCGGTGTTCGGTCCTCACGGGGCTCGAGACTGCGGGGGCGTCGATCGGGATCGGCGGACTGCCCCGGGGCCTCGTTCACTCGTTTCGCGCGGCTCGTCCGGGGATCCGCCGCGGCGAGCGGAGGGGTCACGGCGCGGCGTCTTCGAGCGG